GTATGCAAATTTTCAGTTCATTGAAAAATTGAAAGTATTGCTCGAACGGTCGTTTTTCAAAAAATCCATGTTCATTTGCATAAACAATTGCAGTTCAGGTCTTAGTTGCTAACGATTTTTGGGTTCAGGAGCTGCTTGGAGAGCTAGAGAGCTGAGTTTAAAATTTTTATCTCGCACGTGCATAGAGAATATCATTAGCAAAGATTCAGCTTTCTATGTTGCCTGGTTCGCGAAATCGTTTCCCACCATCATATTTCTTTGGGGGCCCGTGCGCGGGGTCTAGAGGCGTATGGGGAAAAATCTTAAAACAGGAGGATTGCACGCGAGGTAGGAACATATATCCAAAGTTTCAGCCTCCCAGCTTTTCTGGTTGCTGAGATAAAAGTGGGTGGCAAAATGCACTCACTTTCCGCACACACACACACACACACACACACAGCCTCTCGATAGTATGCATTTTTGCTGGCTGTAGCAGTGCTATAGCGCATGAAAACGCATAAAAACGGGAGGGCCACGCATGGTATGGGCACATACTGCCAAAGTTTCAGTCTTCTAGCTTTTCTAGTTCTCAAGTTGAAAGTGGGCGACAAAAACTGCGAACACACAGACACACACACACATACAGTCTCTTTCCAATATGCGTTTTTGAAATTTGCACTTACGCAGAAACGCACCACAAAAAGGCACGTTGTCGAGATCCTGTGTGTATGTGTGTCCCGAGTGCGTTTTATCTGGTATTTCGCTTCGGGAACCAAAGGGGCTAGGAAGTTGAAATTTTGAGAGGGGCCCTCTGCCCTCGTGTATCTTGCAACCCCAAATTCAGTCTCTGTGCGCGTCTTGGCTTCGCGTACTTTTGCGTGAAAGTTTTGACGCTTAAATTGATAAGTCGGGGGTACAGGAGGTTGAAAGCTGGAATTTTAGGAGGGTGTCCCTTGCCCGCATTCGATCCCTGTAAAACTCAAATTCATCTTCCCTGCATGTCTTGATCTCACATAGTGACGCGTAAAGCTTCTGAACGCCAAAATTAGTAACTCGGGAACCATAAAAGCTAAGAAGGTGAAATTTCAGAATAGTCCTCCTCCTGCGTATAAATTCAGTTCCGCACGCGCTTCAGCCTCCGGTATGGACATGCGAAAGTTTTGGCACTAAAATTTATAACTCAGAAGCCACAAATGCTATGAGGCTGGAATTTTAGGATAATGCTCCCTGCCCGCATATAAATTCATCCTCGCGCTTGTCTTGGTCTCACGTACGGGCAATTGAAAATTTTGGCGACAAGATTAATTTGCGAACTACAAACAGCAGTGTTTTGGCACCGAATTAACATATAGCTTAACAAACAGTACTGCAGTGAACACTTTTAACAGCAAGGTTTCCCTGAACAGAACTGTAAAATCAACAGCTGGGCAGAGTTGCTAAAGTGTCCGCCGAACAGAATTGCCTAAGCGTTCACTGGACTGACTGTATAAAACGCAAGGTCGCACGAGCTACCTTGGTGTGTGGCTCTATTTATTAAACTTTTTCCATAATAGACTCACT